TATTCTATTCTATTCTATTCTATTCTATTCTATTCTATTCTATTCTATTCTATACTTTTTGGTGTACAGTGCCCTGAGATGATGTTTGTTGTAACTTGGCGCTACATAAATAATTTCTTGAATCAGGTTCACTCCAAAAGCTAATCAACTGTAGACGTACATCCAATGATTACCTGCTGAGAGTTTCATTAAAATCCAAACAGTGGTTCATGAGATATTTTGCTAACAGACAGACAAACAAACAAACAAACACAGGCACCAGCATTATTGCTCATGTTGTTTACTGATGGTCAGTTACTAACTGTTTGATTTACCAGCCAAACAAATGTTTCAAACTCATGRCTTTATTGAAGCTCTAACAGGCCACAGCAGGGCATCGCTTCTGAACCAGGATAAAACCCTGAACATCTGGGAGCGTTTCAGAGCAGATCGTTTTCCCTCTCAGTGCCTTTTCCTCAACATTCCTCCACACTAATGTTTTGTTTCAAACTCCACGCTGAATTCTTGACAACTCTGCTCAGTATTTATGATTTCCAGCTTTTCCCCTTTCCTTATCACTTTTTACCTTTGTTTTGGCTAAATGTCCGATGCGCACAGTGCTCATCCCAGAGCCTCCCCTGTCCTCTGACCTCTGACCTTTGTCCTTCAACACAGGCCATGAGTTCCCCTTCAGCATCAAGATGAGCCATATTCGGGACGGCAGCAGCGGTGCAGGAGGAGTGGGGAGAGATCCGATGACCCCCACAGACTGCCCTGAAGTTCTMCTGCTGGACCAGTGTCTTCCCCCGGACACCCAGTGTCAGTTCATCCTCAAACCCAACAAGGTGGTCCTCGGACCTCCGCAGCTCATAGGTAAGAGATATTTCATGGAGTGGAGCTCAGTATGTGAGGAGCTGTGGGAGGAAACAGCTGGAGAGTTCCTTCAGTTCCAAGAAATTCAGCATTCTTTAAGGTTTATCCTTYAAGGAAAGGTTTACAACTTTAGAAGTACGATTTCATGGAAAATAGCTAATATCCTACCTGTTACAGATAGCTCTTTTAACAATGTTAAGTCTGGAGAAAAAGTTCCTTTTTTTTACTGAAGTGACAAGCTAACAGCTAAGAGCCGTGTCCAAAGTAGGTTTCTGTCATTTTTAAACATCTACAACTTTAACATTTTTATAGCAGCTCCTTTGAGGTGAAAAATCTTTCACATTACAGGATTTTATTTCACATATACTGTGATAAATAAATACTGTGATAAACACTGTGATATTCTGACAGGAAGTATCTCATGTTACACTACGGAGCCCGCGAGGGGACATGGGGGATTTTTTTTCTTTTACGTTCCCTCGAACTACCTTTGCGTTCCCTCGTAATACTTTTGCGTTACCTCACAATACTTTTGCGTTACCTAACAATACCTTTGCGTTACCTAGCAATACTTTTGCGTTGCCAATACCTTTGCATTACCTCGCAATACCTTTGCGTTCCCTTGCAATACCTTTGCGTTACCTCGCAATACTTTTGCGTTGCCTCGCAGTACCTTTGCGTTACCTTGCAATACCTTTGCGTTACCTAGCAGTACTTTTGCATTACCTCACAATACCGTTACGTTACCTAGCAATACTTTTGCGTTACCTCGCAATACCTTTGTGTTCACTCGCAATACTTTTGCGTTACCTCGCAATACCTTTGCGTTACCTAGCCATACTTTTGCGTTACCTCGAAATATCTTTGTGTTACCTCGCAATACCTTTGCGTTCCCTCGAAATATCTTTGTGTTACCTCGCAATACCTTTGCGTTACCTCGCAATATTTTTGCGTTACCTTGCAATACTTTTGCGTTACTTCGCAATACCTTTGTGTTACCTCGCAATACTTTTGCGTTACCTTGCAATACCTTTGTGTTACCTCGCAATACTTTTGCGTTACCTC